CTGAGCACATCAAGAGCACGATCCAACCAGAAACTCCTACAGTTATCAGGCAGTAGCATGGCAGGTCGATTGGCGAGTTGATTCATCATATAATCTGATAAATATTTGCTGCTCTTCATAGCTTCATTGGGAGCATTATTGGGATGATAATCTTGATGGAAACAAATACTTGTGGCTAGGTGCCAGGCTATGATGCTGGCATCAAAGTCCACTTTGATGCTCCATTCGAGGTCAAGACGTATATCAAATATTCCCTCCCTCTGTTCATCAAGCGTCTTCTCCCCCCTTGTTGCTTCAAAGGAATCACCTTAAAAGAAGGAATCTAACCGCCTTTGGTAAACCTCTTTTGGCTTCAAATAGCTTGGAACTTCCACAAAGCTGGTATACTTGAACCTATGCCAATTTTCAAGAATATCACTGCTAAAGTACTCTTGTAGAAACTTATAAGCCGTAGCCTTCCTGGAATTCCAGCAATAACCCAACAAATCAAATTGTCCCATCTTAGCTAACCACCTCTTCTGTTGAGGTAAGAAGCAAGGAAAGTATTGCAAGACATATTGGAGAATTCTGCGTACCAAATAATTATCATGCAGTAAAATTACTGACCAATGAGAACAAAGAATTGAGAACACGACACAAATATCCAGTGCAACAGCTCCAACCAATAAGCAAAATGTTATGAAAATATCAACATTAATTACAGCCGATGGATCCACCATGATTAATGTCAGGAAGAACACCAGAATCCCAGTGGAAAGAGTGAGGCTGGTGAGGCGCAAGATGCATCCTTTCCTAGTATAAATGAAAGCCGCTTTTGTGTAAACAACATCAAAGAAAAACCCCAGTTCTACAACAGCTATGTCGAAATGAGCCCAAGGATTACTACTCACCTCGTCTTGTTCAAGCAAGGCTTTGTGAATTAACATGATTTCATGGTTGGTTTTCCTTAGATAGGTTCGTATCCTCACTTTCAAGGACATGGGATATTCCTTATGGCAGAGGTAATCATTGACACCTGGTCTCATAACTGAACACAATGCATAGCCTAGGAGGACTATTTTTGATTGATGGTCTAATAACGGGGAAGATAGTTGATCAGGATTTTAAATACGGAGATGATCCGCTCGGTTTTCGTTGAGTTAGTGACCTTAAGACACAAAATCCTCTCTATGTATTTGCTGATTCCTGCAAAACAAAGAGGAATTGTGAGAAGGTA